TTTTTCACTGGAGAGTAGGACATTTGAGAGGTGACTTTTTATAGAGGTTTATAAAATCATGAGGGACATAGATAAGGTGAATAGCAGGTGTCTTTTCTCTAGGGTGGGAGATTTCAAGACTGGGGGGCATTTTTTAAGATGAGAGAAGAAAGATTTAAAAAGGACACGAGGTGCATTTTTTTTTTAACACAGAGAGTGGTTTGTGTATGGAATGGACTTCAAGAGAAGTGGTGGATGCAGGTAAAGTCACAACATTTAAAAGACGTTTAGATAAGTATATGTATAAGAAATGTTTGGAGGGAAATAGGCCAAGCGCAGGCAGATGGGACCAGTTTAGTCTGGGATTATGGTTGGCATGGACTGGTTGGACCGAAGGGTCTATTTCCATGCTGTATCAGACATTTGTCTAGCTTTTCCTTAAATGTATCACTGCTATTCATCCCAACCATTCCCTGTGATAGTCAGTTACACCATCTCACCAGCAAAGGCACTTCTCCGGAATCTTCCATTAGACTTCTTCGCGACCATCTTATTTTGATGACCCCAAGTTCTGGGCTATCCCTGTCCCACCCCGAGTTGAAACATTGCGACATCTACCTTACCAAGCCCTTTGTTGTTTTAAAGAACTCTACAAGGTCAATCCCGAACTGAACACTTCCTAGAGAAAAGAACTAGTATTGACATCATCTTTGGTGGATATAACCTTTCAGTTCTGGTTTAGTTTTTATAAATCTCTTTGCATGTGCTCCAATGCCTCAAATCCTTTAGAGACCAAAACCCATGAACTGTGTTCCAAGTGTGGCGCTATCTAAGTTTAATACAAGTTCCTGACTGTTTAACTTCTCACAACTCTTTTCTAACTTAACATAACTCAATTCTACTGCTTGCTAAATGAGGGATTTTCTATGTTATTTGAAAAAAATCTCCCTCAATGCTATGTGCAAGAACAGGTACAGCAGCATTCTAAAGTTCCTTATTGTATGTAAAACACATTGGGACCTTGGGCAGGATGGGGAAATCTGATAATCTGTCCTCCTTAGACACGCACCTGAACCAGTATGTCGGGCCCTCGTCTAATGTCAAATTTGAAAACGCTCCCTTGAGACTGCCTTGGGAAGCATTGGCACAGACTGTCTAGTTATAGAGTCATACACATGGAAACATACCCTTCAGTCCAAGGCATCTGTGCCAACCAGATATCCTAAATTAATCCAGGTTCATATCCCTGTAAACTCTTCCTATTCATGTACCCATCAAGATGCCTCTTAAATGTTGTAATTGTACCAGCCTCCTCCACTTCCTCAGCCCATTCCATACATGCATTACCATCTGCGTGAAAAAGTTGCCCCTGAGGTCCCTTTTAAATCTTTCCCCCCTCGCCTTAAAATCTATGCCCCTTCAGTTTTGGACTCCCCTACCCTGGGGAAAAGAGCTTGGCTATTCACCCTGTTAGGTTCTCGGCTTTGTTAATAGGAGTGCACATTTTGTTGCCCGGATCTGATTTCTGTACGTCACCGTGGAGTGCCTAGTGAAGGTTAACGGGTCCCTGATGGTGCTGCTACACTTTGGGAGAGGAGTGTGTCAGGTCTGCCCTTGTCCAGCTAGCTTTATTCTGTCTGCGTGGAGCCATTCCTGTGCCTCTGACATAAGCGGCTGTTGGGTTTGGCTCTGCATGGGCAGGGTCTGCAGGTGGTTCTCTCGGCCTACACATTCACACACCCAGCTGACCTGTGGAGGATGCACCAGTGCCAGGGGGCCTGCTCTGCAGTGCCCTCTGCAAGGATCAACTGGATCAAGTGTTCGGGACTTCTGGTTGGTCCGTGGCAGATGGAGCCCCTGCCGCAGGAGCTCCAGTGCTGCACGCGGAGAACCACTAACCTCCTCTACCTGGGAGTCCGTCTTTACCCCCGTTAAGGGATCCTGGCCAGTGAATTGGCACAAGTTGGGAACCAAGCACGTTGGACAGGACTGCGCCAAGTGTTGTTCTATAGGGCGCGGGTGCTGTTGTGGTACCAACTGGTCACTTTGGTCTCTTCCCCCCTCCCCTGACCCTGGCTTTGTCACCACCATCCAGAAAAAGCTCGTCAAGCTCTTCTGGGACAAGAGGCAATGCTGGGTCACTGCCGTGGGTCTGACTCTCCCACTTGAGGAGAGCGGGTCAGGTGCTGGTGTGCCTTCGCACCCAAATAGTGACCTTCCACCTTCAGACCCTGCAGCGATAACTTTACATCGAGCCTTCTCCAATGTGGTGCGCCCTGATGATGTATTTCTTCCATCAGGTGCGTAACTTCTGTCACAGCGGGCAGTTCCTGTTCGTGGAGCTGCCCAATCCTTGGATCTTGCCATTTCCTTGGACCTGACCACAGTCTGGGACATGGTTGGCTCGCGCCAGAGCACGTCCCCTGCAGGAGTGGCAGCTCTCATCTGGGAGCTGCTGCTCAGGAACAGTTTCCTCCGTCAGCGCGGCCTCTGCTGGCCGAAGGAGGAGAGGGCCTGGGACGCTGGGCTGACCAGGGGCAAGGGAAGTCCTGGATGGCAGAGGAGTGGGCTGGGTGACGCTTGGCTGGGTGGCCAAGTGGACGTCGGTCAACGTCCAGTTCCTGACCTGAGCCATCCACAGCCTGAGGGATGAGGTGCTCGGCCCCCACGCCTCACGCAAGATTGAGGCAGTTCAGGCGTGTGGTGGGCTAGCAGTCGAACTGACCCCTGTCTGTTCAGAGCTCGGCATTGGGCCCCACGCCACGGACCCTAGCCCATGACGCGGTGCCCCACAGTCTGAGCCATCTCGGAAATCCTCCCTATGCGTTTCCTACACTTCCACTTCCCCACCAACACCTGCCACTCAGATACATGTGGTGTGATGTTTTACCCTCTGGTAGCAGAGATCCCAAGTGGAGGGCCCTCCACAAAGGGGTGATTCAAAAAGAAATCAATGATTTTTATTTAGATTTTATGAATGTATTATTTTTAAGGTCGGAAGCAAGGCTAGAAACACATTGTTTTTAAGTGTGCACCCCATCAATCTTGATGAATATCCTCCCAGTTTATTTGCAGTGAAGATTATATTATAAATGTAAGAAAAATTATCTTTGGCAGTTAACCAGGATGTAAGTTTCACAAATCACTGCACCTGGTTTTAACTCATCCAACACCTAATATCACTCAAAACCCAGCATTACCTCGTAGCAAATATCTTTTTCCTTCACACCTCTGTATTCACTGATCCACATTGACTCTTGGTCAAGCAAAATCAGAGAATCATAGAATCTTTACATTGTGGAAGCAGGCCATTCGGCCCATTGCGTTCACACCGTCACTCCGAACAACATCCCACCCTATCCCTGTAACCCTGCATTTCCCATGGCTAACAGACCTTGCCTGTACATCTTTGGACTGTGGGAGGAAACCGGAGCACCCAGAGGAAGCCCACGCAGACACGGGGAGAACGTGCAAACTCCACACAGACACCCGACCAAGGGCGGTATGGAACCCAGGTTCCTGGCACTGTGAGGCAGCAATGCTAACCACTGAGCCACCGTGCTGTCCCAAGTAACAAATAACATCTGACTTTAAAATTCTCACCCTTGTTTTCAAATCTCTTTGTGGTCTGTCCTCTGCCTAACCCTTGTAATCTCCTCCAACCCCTCAATCTGCTGAGACATTCTGCTCCCGTTCCTCTGTCTCTGATTATGATTACTCTAACGTTGGTGGATGGGCCTTCAGTCTCTGGTATTTTCTCCCTTTCCCCCTACTCTGCTCCCCCCCTCCCCTCCCCCCCCTCTCCCCCATCGCCCCCCCCTCCCCCCATCCCCCCCCCCCCCCCCCCCCCCCTCTTCTCCTTTTCAAGACGCTGCCTGACACCAACCTCTTTGACCAATCTTGCCCACTGCTAACCTGACATCCTCTTGTGTGTCTCATGATCGATGTAAATTGTTTCATAATTTTGCAAAGCACTTTGGGATGATTATGTTGTGTTGTATCAACTGTATGAATCCATACAGAAGGATGTGTTTCCATGCTGTATTGAGTCATACAACAAAGAAACAGACCCTTCAGTCCCATCAGTCCATGCCGACCATAATCCCAAACTAAACTAGTCCTAGATAGTAGGAACTGCAGATGCTGGAGAATCCAAGACAACAAGGTGCAGAGCTGGATGAACACAGCAGGCCAAGCAGCATCATAGGAGCAGAAAGGCTGACGTTTCGGGCCTAGACCCTTCATCTAGTCCTACCTGCCTGCTCCTGACCCATATCACTCCAAACTTCTCCTATTCTTGTACTTACCTAAGTGTCTTACAAACATTGTAACCATACCTCCACCCACCACTTCCTCAGGAAGTTCATTCCACACACGAACCACACTCTGTGTTTTTAAAAAAAAAAAAAAAAATTTGCCTCACGTCTTTTTTAAATCTCTCTCCTCACACTTTAAAAATGTGTCCCTAGTCTTGAAATCCCCCATCCTAGTGAAAAGACACCTACCATTAACTCTATCTATACCTCTCATAATTTTATAAACCTCTAGAAGGTCATCGCTCAACCTCCTACCCTCCAGTGAAAAGGTCCCAGCTTTTCTTTATAATTCAAACCTTCCATACCTGGCAACATCCTGGTAAATCTCTTCTGAGCCCTCTCCAGCTTAATAATATCCTTCCGATAGCAAGGCAACCAGAACTGGACACAGTGTTCCAGAAGAGGCCTCACCAACATCCTGTACAACCACAACATGATGTCCCCAACTCCTATACTTAAAGGTCTGAGCAATGAAGGCAAGCGAGATCGAGACAGCTCAGGCATGCGGTGAATGAAATTGTTGTATTTGTGCCCAAATGGAAGGCCATTCCTTCCTATAACGCATTCCAAGGACAAAATACTTGATTGCAGCTTCCATTTCCAATTAAGGTTCCTGGCTATTGTACTTGGAACTTTCTGCTGGTTTTGTTTATTGCAAGATGTTGAACGGTGCATGACTGCTGCTATTTCTGTTGTCTCCTTTAGCTCCGTGATGGGAACAGACTCTCAGGATCACAGGATGGTGGTGAATAAACAGTACAGCGAGGAGAGGCACAGCCTGATAGTCCTAAAGAATGAAACCAAACTAGTAATGGAGGCCTTCCTCCAGAGGATGGTGATGTTGGAGGAGGCTAAGAATGTTGGGCATGTCGGTCGATACTACCATGACAGCAGGAAGTTCATTTCGACGTAAGTCTCATGTGTCAGAAGATTTGACGTCGTCTTCAAGGTCGCTGAGGGACAACATCTCTTGGCCGACAGTGGGTGGGGGGAAGGCAACATTCAGATTGTATGGTATTAGGAGAGACCACAGCCTAATGGTATTATCACTGGATTATTAATCCAGAGCTCCCAGGGAATGTTCCACGGACCCGAGTTCAAATCCTGCCACAGCAGATGGTGGAAGTTACATTCAATAAAAGTCTGGAATTAAGAGTCTAATGATAACCATGACTATATTATCAATTGTCAGAAAACCCCATCTGGTTCATTAATGCCCTTTACGGAAGGAAACTGCCATCATTACCTGGTCTGGCCTACATGTGACTCCAGACCCACAGCAATGGGGTTGAGACTGAACTGCCCTCTGGGCAATTAAGGACAAGCAATAAATGCCCTAGCCGGAGATGCCCTCATCCTGTGGATGAATAATAAAACAAAGAATTCCAGCCTAGGAATTCCATCCGAGTCTCGCTGATGTTTTACCCACTAGAGTGGCGAAGGAGTTGAGGAATGAGATAAGAACTGTTGCAAAGATTGTGTGGAATGAGGCCTTTGAGGGGGTGGTGGGGTGGGGTGGTGGGGGGCGGGGGCGCGGTGTCAGTTATGTTATCCATGCACCAACTGCTGTATCCAAGCAAATCTGGTCTCTTAGCTTGGGGTTAAAGAAGGCTTATAGTTTTGACTTTCCTTCAATTCCTCCTCTCCTGACCATTTTCTGGAAAGACCCTCCAACACACCACCCTCACCCATCCCCTGCCCCCCTCCCACCCAAAACTGCATTATGCCAACCCCCTATCAATGAGGCGATGGCCTAGTCATATTATCACTGGACCATCCATTGACTTTCATCCATTGAACCAGATAATATCTTGGGATCCCATGTTTGGTGGAATTTGAATTCAATAAAAGTCTGGAATTAAGACTGTAATGATGACCATGAATCCATTGTCAATTGTCAGGAGAAACCCATCTTGTTCGCTTCAGAGAAGGAAATTGCCGTGCTTTCCTGGTCTGGCCTACATGTCACTCCAGACCCACAGCAATGTGGTTGACTCTCAACTGCCCTCTGGGATAGACAATAAATTATAGCCTAGCCAGCAACGCCACTATCCTGTGAATGAACTAAAACAAAATCACATTCCTACCCCTGATTCACCAGCGATCACAGTCCGTGACTGTCCGCTTCCTGGTAACGGGGAAGGCAATGCTCTAGTGGTATTATCGCTAGACAATTATTATCAAGACTCTGGGGGACTCTGGTTCAAATCCTGCCACGGAAGGTGATGGAATTTGAATTCAGTAAAAATCTGAAATTTAAAAGTTTAACGATGACCATTGTTCATCTAGTTCAATTATAAATGTAAGAAAAATCACTTTTGGCAGTCAATCCAAGATGTAAGTTTCATAAGACATTACACCCAGTTGTAACTCATTCAAAAAGGCATCTGGATGGGTACATGAATAGGAAGGCTTTACAGGGATATGGGCCAAATGCTGGCAAATGGGACTAGATTAATTTAGGATATCTGGTCAGCATGGATGGGTTTGACCGAAGTGTCTGTTTCCATGCTGTATGACTCAAACTTGATAGCACCCAAAACTCAGCATGATCCTATTTTCCCTGTACTCCCTGACCCATATTGGATCCTGGTCTCTTTCATTAATGTCCTTCAGGGAATGAGATCTGCTGTTTTTACCTGGTCTGGCTGTGACTCCTGGCTGTTACCTGTGACTCCAGACCCACAGCAATGTGGTTGCCTTTTAACTGCGCTCTGGGCAATTAGGGACGGGCAATAAAATCTGGGCCCGGCCAGAGATGCCCGCACCCCATGAATGAATATTTTTTTTTTTTTTAAAGCTTTTTTTTTTTAAAGCTTTGGTACTATGTATATTTAAAATTTCCTTTTCTAAAAGGAGTCCCAAGTGTTCGGATTCTAACTCGGCCGTGAAGGCACACATCCGACGAAAGTCGAATCATAAAGGGAGCTTGGAGCGGGAAGCGGAAGAGGAGAAAAAGAGGAGCCTGAAGCGAACGGAAGGAGCCGAGGACAATGACGGCTGGGATACTGCGGATGAAGAAATTGCCAAGGCTGAAGAGAAAAAGCATGGCTTCAGGACAACTATCAAGAGACTGATCAGGCGGCAGAGGAAGAAAAAGAGCAGCGATAAATCTGTCAAAAAGTCCAAGGATTCTTTAGACCTGCTCGAAGATGAGGGATCTGGGAAGCATGGCAGCAAATGTGATTCAAAGACTAATTCCGTGAAAAGGCAGAAGAGTCCGAACCACTTAATCTCTGGTGCACACAGTTCAATAGAGACAGACACTTCCAATGTGAAGGAAGAGGCTACAGAGGAGATCGGTAAACATAGCTCCAGGAAGAGTGGCACCAAGAGACTGTTAAACTTGTTTAGAAAACATTCACAAGGGAAAATTGAAGATGCTTCTGTCATGCTGGAGAAAGAACAGGAGCCCAGGCCTTCCAGGCCCAACACACTACACCTAATGACTGACCAGATGAGCAGCATGGACAAAGGTGAGCATTCCTTCCTGCTATGTTTATTGGGTCCCTTTTTGAAGAGACCCCTTTTCAGAGGGGTAGAATTGAAAGGCAGGGCAGTTCCATCGATGAATCAAATAAAAACCAAATGAGTTGCGGATGTTGTAAATCAGAAACCAGAACAGAAATTGCTGGAAAAGCTCAGCAGGCCTGGCAGCATCTGTGGAGAGAAATTAGTGTTAATGTTTCAGGTCGAGTGACCCTTCCTCAGAGCTGGTTCCTGAGGAAGGGTCACTTGACCCGAAACATTAACTCTGATTTTTCCTTCACAGATGCTGCCAGGCCTGCTGAGCTTTTCCAGCAATTTCTGTTTTCGTTCCTGATTCACAGCATCCACAGTTCTTTCGGTTTTCAGTTACACAGGGCATTGGTGAGACCTCATCAGTATTACCTTGTATTATATTTACAGAAGGATGTTAATGCATTGGAAGCAATTCATAGAAGGTTGACCAGTCTAATCCCTGGAATGAGTGGATTCCTTGATGAGGAAAGGCCAGACAGGCTGGGCCTGTATCCTTTGGAGTTTAGAAGAGTCAGAGGTGACTTAATTGAAACATACAAGATCCTTTGAGGATTTGACTGGCTGGATGTGGAAAAGGATGTTTTCACTTGTGGGAGAACTAAGGAGTCATTGTTTTAAATATAAAGAGTCACCCATTTAGGACAGAGATGAGGAAACAATTTTTTTTTCTCTCTGAGGGTTGAGAGTCTTTGGAATTCCCTTCCTCAAAAGGCAATGAAAGTGGAATCTTTTTTTTTAAAAACTTAAGGCAGAGGTAGGTAGATACTTGATGGCAAAGGGCATGAAGGGTGATCGGCGAGGTGCAGGAATGTAGAGTTGAGGTTAAAATCCGATCGGCCACGATCTTATTGAAAAATGGAGTAGGCTTGAGGACCGAGTAGCCTACCCTTGTTCTTTCTTTGTACGCAGAGAGTGCTGAGATTGTGGAACTTGCTACCACACAGTAGTTGAGGCAGGCAGCAGAGACCTGCCCTGAGAGACAGGATGGGTGTATTGATTGAGTTTGCTGAGGATTGAAGAACAGAGGCTTATGTGCAGGGGAGGCAGTGGTGTAGTGGTCACGTTACTGGAATAGTAATTGCTTATCCTGGGGTCATGGATTCAAATCCAACCATGGCAGCAACAAGATGTTGGTGGGAATTTGTATCACACCAACTGGTCACCACATTTTCTTTGTGTCAAGTTTTTTTTCATTAGCTAGTGGCATTGAATGGCACAAGAAGACTAGAAAGCTGAATGGCACCTGTTCTGATATGGCCCAGTGTCACATCGACCTTTCATAGAGTCATACAGCACTGAAACAGACCCATCGGTCCATCAAGTCCATGCCAAACATAATCTCAAACTAAACTAGTCCCACCTGCCTGCTCCTGGCCCATATCCGTCCAAACCTTTCCTATTCATGTACTTATCCAGATGCCTTATAAATGTTGTAACTGTACCCCCATCCACCACTTCCTCTGGGAGTTCATTCCATACACAAACCACCTTCTGTGTAAAATAAAAAAAAAAAAAAAAATTTGCCCCTCATGTCTTTTTATCTCTCTCTCCTAAATCTCTTTCCTCTCACCTTAAAAATGTGTCCCCTTGTCTTGAAATCCCTTATCCTAGGGAATAGACACCTACCATTAACCCTATCTATACCCCTCATGATTTTATGCACCTCTATAAGGTCACCTCTCAATCTCCTACATTGCAGCGGGAAAAAAATTGTCCCGGCCTATCCATCCTTTCTTTATAGCTCAAACCTTCCATACCCGGCAACATTAACCAAATGTAAAATGGAACAAATAGGAGCAGTGGCAGGTCATTTGACCCATAGAGTGTGCTTCACCATTCAACCAGACCATGGCCAACCAGCACCATTTCCCTGCACTGTTCCCATTTCCCAGTCTGCCATTAATCTGCAGAAATCTATCAATTGCCATCTTGAACATGCCCAGTGATTGGTCCTGTTGTTAACTTTTGACTTGGTCCAACTCCAGCACCTCCACACTAAATAGCCTACACCTTTATTCTGAAATGCTGGACCCTGGTTCTAGATGCCCCCACCACCCCCCCGCCCCACCCCTATAAAGGAAGCATCTTTTCTATATCCACCCAGATGATCTGTTTCTTGTTGATGTCGTTGTAAATTTGAGGGACATGTTCTGGCCATCAAAACAGTGATAGGTGGACAAGGCCTCCATTTAAGTTTGACCCAAAATGCAGTGGTGCAGCACTCCCTCAGCTCTGCACTTGGCATGTTGCGCTTGAATATGTGGCATGGGATTTGAGCCCCGAACCTTCTGAATGGGATACAAGGACTAGGCTGTGACCAACACTGACTCACATCTAAGCCTCCCGCAAGTGAATTTTCCAACTTTGCATCCACCTTGCCATTCATCTCGAACTTTTTTTGAATTGTTTCCAGGGTCGGCCCAAAACGAAAATGTGGAATTCTATTCGAAAGTGGCAAAGAAGCTGGATAAGTTAGCACAGCAATACTGTGCACAGTCAGACATTGACCGGTTAAGCCCAAGCATTGAGAACCGTGTACCAGAAATAGGTAAGTGCTGTCTGAAGACCTGGGTGGAGTTTGAGGTGTGTGAGGGGGAGGGTTGAAGAGTTGGGGAACTCCAGGCCAAGGGGCTAATGGAGGGAAGAGTGGCAGAAGGATCCCAGCCCACGAGAGTGGGAGGCAAAGAAGGGAGGGGTCTCTGAGCTCCGCTGGGGCAGGAGGAAGGGGCTGTGGTACCCAGAGAAAAGGGTGTTGAGGGGAAAGGCAGCGTTGAAGGGTTGGGGATGGTGAAGATGTCGGGGACAGAACTCTGACATCTGGCTCACCAGGAGATATGAATGTTTGTTGTCGGGGGGGTTGCATGACAATGCAAGGGAATGCTCCTTTCTAACATTCTTCAAAAAGTTGCAGGAGAACTTTGAACTTCTCACTTTTCTGTTGGGCCAGGTTTGTCCCCTCCCACCTCTGCTTCCCGTCCAAACCTTCCTCCTTCCTTGAGTCTGTGGAAGGATCTGAGAGTTGGATAGCAGTCCTAATAAGGATGATGTGAGCCGTAGTCGCGCAGCAGGGAAACCGACCCTTCAGTCCAACTCGTCCAAGCCAAACAGGTTTCTCAAACTAAACTAGTCCCATTTGACTGCTTTTGGCCCATATCCTTCCCTCTGGTTTTGCATGGAGTCCAAGTGAATTGGAGTGACTCCAAATTCGCTCACTGTCAGTACAGTACCACCAGCTGATGTCTGCTCTCGTTTGATTACTTCAGGGAGCAATAATGTCCCACAGAATGCGGCAACGGACAAGGAGAAGATGATTGAGAAGATTGTGTTGTTGTTACAGCAACAAGGAGATGGAATCAATGAGAAGGTGAGAGGCAGTCATGAGGTGGGGTCTGGTTGCCATGGAAATCTTATCTGAGGGAGCCTACAGTGACTCTGTTCCAGCTTTCGCTGCCTTTGGGGCAGTCTTCAAGTTTAAAAGGGTGACACAGGAGGATATTCTGCCCATCACATCTGTGCTGCCCCTTTGAGAGAAAAGTTGGGCTTCGTCCCACATTGTCCGTACTTCTGGAAGTTGCTAATCACCAAATTGTTTTAGAATTTTATATCAAATCAGTGACCACTCCCCTTTTCAAGCTGAGGGGAAGTGCTCCAGATCCCAACAGTGCAGTTTATGTTTGACACATCTTCTAATGGGTGAAGGGGATAGAGGGGCTGAGCTGGAGGGGGAGAGGGCTTGCTGATGATGGGTTCATTGCTGAACTCGCCCTCAACAAGCATGGGACACATTCACTCGTGGACATCATTGGCTGGGCCAGTGTTTATTGTCCATCCCTAGTTGCCACTTGAGAAGGTGGGGGTTCCTGCCTTCTTGAATCACTGAAGTCCATGTGCTGTAGGCAGACCCACGATGCTGTTAGAGAGGGAGTTCTACAAAGCATCGAGTTACAGTCTTAACAAGAGAGTGCGTAAAATAATTAAACTCCCTGGTGAAACGGATTAAGCCCCGATGAAATTTTATTGCCCAAACCCGAACAGTCTTGCAATTCCTGTACTCCCTGGATGGGAGTAGGCCATTCAGCCCCTTGACCCTGTTCAACATGATCTCATTAAATGGTGGATCTGTGGCCTGTCTGGCCTTTGGTCCGTATCCTTTCATACCTTTACTTAACAAAAGGTTATCCATCTCGCGTTTCAAATAAGTGACTGATCCAGCATTCACTGGCCGTTCTATTCTCACCACTGACTTTCCCATGGTGGGGGAGGGGGGGGCCAAGCTGTCACGTCCCCTTCCCCACGCTCACTGTAAACTTACGCCCTACAAAGTAAAACCTGTTCCCCAAAATTCGTGGCGAAATAATCGGAGGCGTGGTTCCGAGGGTGTTGAAAGTAAATGGAGCTGCAAGACCTTTTCTGGAAATATGTGTTGAAGCCAAAACTTGTTTCATGTTAAGTTCTCTGTCCCCGTAGATGAAGGAAGACCCAGCGCTTCAGCGCACCATGAGCCGCATGTCCTACAGGAGCTTCTCCCATTTGGTGGAGGCCTTCACAGCCAACGTTGAAGAGCAGCACGGGGGTCCCACAGCCACCCCCGAGCTGACGAAGATCGCGCTGACCATGGAGCTCACACGCAGAGTGGCTGGGATCAGCAGCCATCCAGTACAGCAGCTGATGGGGTATAGCATGCAGTACATGAACATGTTTGTGCCCTGGCTCCAGGAGAATGGTGGATGGGTGAGTGGACCAGCATCGAGAGATATCTCTTCCTCTCGCGGAATAATGTCATCTTCAGTCGGGTCCTCATTGCTGACATGGGAGTACAAGCGAGCATTCTTTTTAACCCCTGTGGGCCCTCCCAGTACAAGCACCACCTGCTTTTTTAAAAAAATCTTTATCCGTTCACGGGATGAGGTGTCACTGGCTACACATTTATTGCCCATCCCTAAATTGCCCAGACAGCAGTTAAGAGTCACATGTAGGCCAGACCAGGTAAGGATGGCAGAATTCCTTCCCCAAAGGACATTAGCAAACCAGATCATCTTTTCTGAGAATTGGCAATGGTTTCATTGTCATCATTAGACTCTTAATTCCAGGTTCTTCATTGATTTTAAATACCACCATCTGCCACAGTGGGATTTGAACCCAGGTCCCCAGAATATTAGCTGAGTTTCTGGATTAATAGTCTAGCAATAATACAACTGAGCCATTGCCTCCCCACGTGCCACTAATCAGCCCAGGTCTGGATATTTTCCAAGGTCTTTTTGTATTTGGGCATGGGCCACTTCAGTATCTGAGGAGTCGTGAATGGTGCTGAACATTGTGCAATCATCAGCGACCATCCCCACTTCTGATGGAGGGAAGGCCATTAATGAAGCAGTGATGAGGGTGGGAGAAGAGTTGGCCAGGGCGCCTGGAGAACTTCAGAGAATAGCACCAGTGGAGCTTTTAGATCCACCTTCTTGGGCCAGTGTGCTCACCCAAATGATGTCAACTGACAAAGCAGCATTCCCTCAGTCCTGCACCGATGCAACAGCCTTCACCATGTAATCAAGTCTGTTGGCATCCATTTTAAGTGTACAAGGTGAAACTTGAAACTGTTCAGAAAATACTTACAAGGATGTTGCCAGGATTGGAAGGTGTGAGCGAGAGGGAGAGGCCAAATAGGCTGGGGCTATTTCCCCTGGAGTGTTGGAGGCTGAGGGGTGACCTGAAAGAGGTTTATAAGATCATGAGGGGCATGGATAGGGTGACTAGTCAGGGCCTTTTCCCCAGGGTAGGGGAGTCCAAAGCTAGAAGCCATAGGTTTAAGGTGGGAGGGGAAAGATTTAAAAGGGACCTAAAGGGCAACATTTTAATGCAGAGGGTGATGCGTGTATGGAATGAGCGGCCAGAAGAGGTGGTGGAGGTTGGTACAATTACAACATTTAAAAAGCATCTGGATGGGTGTATGATTAGGAAGGGTGTAGAGGGATACGGACCAAATGCTGGCAAATGGGACTAGATTAATTCAGAATATCTGGTCAGCACGGACAAGTTGGACTGAAGGGTCTGTTTGCATGCTGTACATCTCTATGACTCTAATTGGGATCTTGGTTGTTTAGAGTAAGGCAAGTTCTGTGTACTTACAAGAATGTGTGACTATCAGTGATCTGTGTTTGACTGAATTTATTAATTAACACCGGTTTCCTGTCATCTAACAGACAATGGTGCTGCCAATGGACGATGATTCTGAATATCAAATTGACTGACATTTGCCAAAGAAGTGGGGTTAAAATAAAACCCGAGCCCTCTGAGGATGGGGAGAACTGGCTTTTCAATTCGCTCTCAGAAGGAAGAAATCTGAACAACTTGCTTTTTAATCTTGAAATCCATGCACTGGCAGGTGAATGCTGTAGGGAGCTTGATGATCAGCCAAATACTTTTCTGTCTCAGGATAAGACTTGGTAAACTCTGCTGGTTTTTCATGTTTACTGAGTTGCTGTGAAATAGTTGAACTTTAAGCCGGTAAGTTGGTGATGCATTCTTAGCCACCTGTTTGGGCACTAGTCAACATTCCACATCGAAAGAAACAGCACTCCCAAGGGACTTTCAAAAAAATCTCTTGCAGCAAGCTGTTATCCCAGTAATATATAACTTTCCAATTTCTGATTTGGCATAAGTCATCTTACACAGTTTACCACAACCTCAGCGTGTCTTAGAGGTTTCCAAATTACTTCTCCGCTGTTTCCAGTTTCACCAAATTATAACGCAGGTTGATCACAGGAAGATAGAAACATTTTCAGCGGAGAAAGAGGCCATTCAGCCCCTTGTACCTGCACAGGCTCATTAAATGAGCATCATCACCCAGTGCCAATCTCCTGCCTCTTCCCCCCCCCCCCCCCCCCCCACCCCACCCTCTCATATTCTTGCACATTGTTTTTATCCAAATAACCATCCAATGTCCATTTGAATGCCTCTAGCCTCTGCCATTTTTCCAGACAGTGCAGTCCATTCAGAAGAGCCAAGATTTTGAGAGGATCAGAGATGGTGAGAAACATACTTGTCAAAATGCGATGCACAGAGATCTACCTCATTCTCTCATCAGTATCGTGTTTAAGGCTTGAAGTTTTTGATAGGAGCTTGCACGTAGCAATGTCTAACCAATATGTCGTGGGGATTTGACCAATAAGTGAAGACAATCCATAACTTATGTCAGTCAAACTGTTAAAGTTGTGAAAACTGGATACATAGACTTCATCACCAATTGGCATCTATTTATTAACCTGATACTGTTAAGGACTAATATGGAAGAGAGGAAAAGAGAAGTGGGGAAATGTTGTCACGTTGAGTACTGGTTCAACACATGGTAGGGAAGTGATATTGCAGATGAACGTCTCCAACCTTTTCCAAAGTAACAGGACCCATTTATTTAAAACAGTTCTTATTCTCCTATTATTTCCTTGATCTTTTCCTTTTTGTATACAATTGTGATAGATTTGGAGCGCAACTGACATGTGGATGTTGTATTCTCCATGGGGAAGTAGTCAAGGAAGCTAACCTCCCATTTCCCTCCCCACACTGAGACCCGAAATGCAAGGCAGGGTTGGGCTTTTACTTGTTCAGTTCCATCCCTTACAAAGAATTTTGAGATTTCCCCTAGACAAGGGGAGCAATGAACTAATTATGGTGCACAATTCACCTCGGCTGATTATCAGTACTTACTGCAGAATGTTGCTGGGTACAGATTACTAAACCTCCCTGAAGACTGGACAATGAATGACCAATCAATACCTCCTTTCACATGGCAATATTCTGAATGTTACTATTTTAGTCCATTCAAAGGTCAATGTTGGAGATTCTGGCTGTGCGAGACTAGGAACTCACTCTTGACTTTTCCACAGTTGTTACCAGTAATTTCCCCTGTGGTTACCAGTATTGGTGTGTTCTGCATTTGTATTATGTCCTGAATTCTGTGCATCTATCGCGATGCAGAGAATTGTAAGCTGCTGTACGTCACTAAGAATGTCAATTAAGGAGTGCCCTAGTGTATTGGACTGGTATCAATGACCTGGTATCAGTTAAACCTATCAAATGCCAAATGAACCTTGAGCCAAAGTAAAAGGTGAAATCATTGTCCCTCAATGATATCTAACAGCAGTGAGAGGGACTCCAGGATGTCAATGTTGGGATAATGAAATGCACACCTACAATTTTATAACGTCTATGATCACCCACCTTTTATTGAACTAACTGTATTCTGTTATTCGCTTAATACTGACGAGAGCAGGGTGCTCTCCTACTCATTCAGCGTGCTGTGGTATGTACTCTGACTTTCGAATTACAGCAAACGTTTTATTAACCGGCACCGACGGGAATAGCTGTGCCGGTTGATCAGATATTCCGGATAATCAAGAGCTGCGCGTAACTTTGACCAACTGAAGCTCACTATCACCATCTCTCCTAAAATGAGTGTAAAAACGCACAGTTAAGTAATAGAAACGGTAATTTAGGGGGTATACACCACTGTTATACTTTAACTGTATTAGTATGCAGATAACACTGTTTTGGAGGCATATATCTTTATGCTGGTCTATCGAGAGTGCCGGTTAAAATAAAGTTTGCTGTATTATCTAAAGATCAGGAAGCAACTCTGTAAACGTTCTACCTCAAGTTTTTAACTTGTTCTGAGCTCAGCTCAAACCTGGAAGTAATTGAGTTAGGGTTAGGTGCTAAAGACCAAATCCTATCTAAATAATGCACTTTTTAACCCTCATGGATAGTTGCATGATACAAATGGTAACTGTAAAACAATCCTAGTGATTGATCTTGATCTTGGAATCTATAACAGAACAAGGTTTGAGGAGGGGAATACCCCAGTGGGAGGAGGCTTTAGAGAACCACCACACCAAACCTGTTTCACTCATCACCCCACCATGTTGGGGTTCACCAACTTTATTTTTAAGAGCCTAGCATCAAATTTTACTCAGAATAATACAGTTTCTTGGCAACTTTAAAAGTTTACCTTGATTTTAAAAGTTGTTTTAGATCTTACTTTTAATGAATTCCAAAAGTCCATGAGCCAGTGCGTAAACACATAGAAAGCTCCACTAGGTGTCAGTTGGACAGTTAATGTCTACCAATCAAAATTAAATGAACGTAAAAGTTAAGTCTTTAAAAGATCGAGGGGGTAAATCCAGCACTTGCAATCTTTGGGGAGACACAAGGACTGCAGCGGTTCAAGAAGGCAGCTCAACGTGAACTTCCTCGGGGCTATTAGGGGACAGGCAATAAATGCTAGCCAAGCCAGCGATGCCCATGCCCCGTGAACAAATATTTTATGGGCAATGGCTGGAGTATCTGATACCATACACCTATTAAAAGTGTGTCCCAAATGTTGCAATGCAGCAACATTCTTCGTAACCTTTGCACTCCAATTCCTGCCAGGCATATGATGGCCACCTACTAGTAAGGCCCCTTGCCCAACTCTGTCTCCATAATGAAACATAGGAGCAGGAGAGGGCCATTCGGCCCGTCGAGCCTTCTCCACCATTCTACACGATCATGGCTGATCATCCAGCTCAATAGCCTGACCCTGCTTTCTCCCCATAACCTTTGGATCCATTCACCTCCAAGTGCTATATCTAGCTGCCTCTTGAATACATTCAACATTTTGGCATCAACTACTTCCTGTGGTATTGAATTCCACAGGCTCACCACTCTTTGGGTGAAGAAATGTCTCCTCATCTCCGTCCTAATTGTCTACCCCGAATAGCTGCTTTGACTACAAAGACTACTCCTCCCCCTACCAGCCCTTAGTATATCTGCTGCTTATTGTTGCCTTGACCACAGCAAAGACCTCTACATCTACGAGAAATCATTAATCATTTGCCCTACTGGGGGAGTAAGGAGGGATCATAGTTTGACTCCTAAGACACGTAAAGCAAACTGAGACACAATCTCCCTTCCCCAGCAAAATGTCATGCACCAAGATGTTTGGAGATGGCTCTTGCCTGTTTAATGCTACATCCTTTGCATTATCAGTAGCAGAGTCTGGGACTTGAGGGAAGTCAGGACAAAAAGTGTGTTCAGAAGTGCCTCTCCCAACTGCTTTTTGAGGACCTCCAGGAACAGTCTCCTTTTGGGATTGACCTCCCACAGCCGTTGGTCTCACAGCCATTGGTCTGTATTCTCAACTAAAAATGTCTCTGAGGGGAGAGGTACAACTGGCCCCCTGCTCTATTGGACTGGGGAATCTGCTCTTTCTTGGTCAGTATCGAGTGACCCCACCACCTCTCTGTGGGGATGTGAATGTGCCAACATTGGACAATCAGACGAGGCAATGATGCTGCTGCAGTAGAACAGCCTGCTGCAGTTTGCTCTTGTTGTGGTATGAGTTTGGACGGGTGGGGATTGGATCTGGTTTTAGATATAATATGAATTGGTGCATGTTTTTAAAATGGGTCTAAGAACCTGACTCCTAAATAAGCTTGACCACTACCACAAACCCAGTGTGCAAGTTGCTCTCTATTTTATAAAGCTGCCATATCAGTAAATACAAGTTTTTAATTTGTAGGGCATTGATTTATGCAATGGGGTATGTACTGTATATTTGATTGTAATGTAAGCTGTTTGGTATATAAGATGTTTTCTGCATTTGATGGTTGTTTTGTGAAAAAGTGAAATTGTTACTTTTTTTTAAATGATTCATATTATTTTATGAAATCTTGGACTGTAAGCTGTGAGGCTAGAGAGTATTGATAACTCTCATCCTGAATATCTTATGATCTGTTCTGTTGTGTTGTGAGCCAGTCTTATTTAGAATGTTTACAAGATCCAGTAGCCAAATCCTGCTTTATTTGCAAATTCACCCCGCCTTGCGCTGTATGGGAATGGTGCAAAACCATTAGTTCTCAAGTGAAGTAGTCCGTCCATAAAATTTACGTTTTTTTGAACCTCTGACAAGCAGCTTGCTGATTTCGAGTCCACCAAAAGCAAGATTCGGAAGATTTCATGTTCAGTTTCCCGGGGTGTACCGGGTTAACTAGGCTTGGGTGAGATTGTACTGTAGCACTATTAATAACATCTACTCCTGGGGCTAGAGCAAGAGAGGAGGTGGGGAAGAATCAAACCAGGTTTCCTATTCCTTCATCAAAACTGGAAAGCAGAATTAACACGGTCATCAGTGAGAAGGTATGAGGTTTCCTGTAGTTGAATGGCCAGCCAAAACGTGGCCATCCAGACTTTAGTAAGTTAGCTGTCTGATTAAGGATATCAAGAGTTTATTGACCAATTATAGAGTCATACAGCACGGAAACAAACCCTTCAGCCCAACTTGTCCAATGCTGACCAAGTTTCCTGAAATGAACTAGTCCCATTTGTCTGTATTTTGCAGGTAAAAGGAATGAATTTTCAGATTAGTCATGATCTATTGGAATGGAATGATGGGAGATGCTTGAGGGGCTGACTCTCATGCTTCTGTAGAATTGTCACTTTATTTTTCTTTATTCACAAGACATGAATATCACTAGCTAGACTAACATCTCCTATTGCCCACAGGGCAGTTAAGAGTAATTCACATCACTGTGGGTCTGGAGTCACAGACTGGATAAGGTTGGCACTTTCCTTCCCTAAAGGGCATCAGGAAACTGGATCAGTTTTCCCAACAATTGGTAACAGTTTCATTGTCACTGGACTCTTAATTTCAGATTTTTATTAGGTTCATCTACCATGGTCAGGATTTGAACGTGGATCCCCAGAACATTACCTGGGCTTCTGGATTAATAGTCTAGGGATAATACCACTAGGCTATTGACTCCTGGCACTTTGCAAAGGTCTACAATGACCCACAGAAGCCAATA